GAACAACTCCTATTAAGTGACTTTCATCTATTTACTTAATAGAATTTTGACTTTTATATATAGAAACTACTTCCGGATTTTGAAAAAATAATAAAAACCAACCTTTTCAAAATTTTACCCGAAAATAAGCTACCCCCATGATTTTTGTGTAACTTTTTGGCCAAAAAAGGGTAGCTTATTTTCGGAAACCTACGGTATCAGATTTTAATCGATTACAACCAGTTTTCAAAGTTTCTTGACGATAGCAATAAATCAACTAATTAACTAGTACAGTAGTAATGATAGTAATTAAATATATATATATATTAAAATAATATATTTTCTTTGTAAAAAATGTTATAAATATTCAATTAAACCTTATGAAAAATATTAACTTTAACAATAAAATGGAATCATTTTTCAAAGAAAAATTTGAAATTGATATTGAACAAGTAGTAAATATTACCTTTGAATATTGTTTTATATGGAGATGTATTTCATAAAGATAAATTATTTGATTAAAAAAATTTAATAAAATTTTAGTATATATTTGAATTATACGTAATTAAATATTAATATTTAAATGTTTATTTTTAGTTGGATTCTAATGAAAATATTATAAGCATTGAAGAAAATAAAGAAATTAAAGAAGAAACTATCGCATATCTTACTGCTCGTTTAGCTGTTAATGCTAACAATATATATTATTCTACAGTTTCAGTTGAATATTCTTCAACAAGTCCACTAAATGATAAGGGACCATCTGGTTTTGTTACGATTTATAATATGCTTAATATTGAAGATTATATTAATGATAATGAACAAGATCTAAGTCAAGAACAAGAACTAAGTCAAGAGCAAATTCAAAGAAAAAAGCAAATACAGGATGAATTAAAAAAAAGGTGCATGTAGTTTTTCAGGATATAAGTATTAATTTAATAAATACTATACTAATAAATTGGTTATAATATGTTTGTTATATTTTCTTAGTAAATTTTTGCCTATATTTAACTACTTAGCATATAATTGATTTATTATTGCTACTTTTAAATTGAATATATAGTTATATTATAAATAAGTGCCTAAATGTTTTTTAAATAAGATTGACTAAAAAAATATATAATCGCTTTTTATTAAATATACATTAATATTACATATTATAATATTTATTTAGATTCAGTATAGCTTAGGTCCTGGTGGTTAGACAAAGTTAAATGCCCCTTTTTTGGTAACATAATTGTAACCAAAGATCAGAGAAGGTGCCAAGGCGTTACAATTTGTTCTGATAATCAAATTAAATCAGCAAAACATTGCAGTGTCAATTTTGATTCTGAGGCTTTTAAAGCAATTAAAAATAGATCATCAAATAGAACAACTTATACGAATACACTTGCATATGTATTATTTTAAATATATAGTTAATATTATCTAAATACATACTGGCTAAAAAAATAAATTTATACATTTATATAGTATTAACTAATCAGATATTAGAAAATTAACTGATTAAATGAATATTACTATGAATTTTTTAGCTATTATGAATTTAAACAGTATTAACTATAAAATATAGCTATTTAATTAACAAAATTATAATATAATTTTAGTTTTTATCTCGCTATAATTAAAAAAGCATGTCCAAAAACTTTATCTGATAGTTCAGCATGTGCTGGTTTGCCAGTTTTATGAAGAATTAAAGAATATACTTTAACACAATATAGGGCTAATCTAAACCAAAGTAATAATCGAACATCATTAATACTACAATGTAAAGATAGTTATTTCATTGGATATAGTTTATGGATTAATAGTGATAGCTGGCATCGATTTATTCCAATACCTGAATCATGTGATATTATCATAATTCAGCACCTTTTAGAGGGAGAATCATTTGATCGCTCATTAATTCAAAATAAATGTTGTACTATCTTACCTAATACAACACACAAAAAGTTTTGTTGTAAGTATATATTATTACTATTTGGCCTTTATAGACTATATTTAGAAAAGTTTTAACTATATAGGCAGCTATCAATAAAAATCAAGCAAATCTATATTTAAAAAAAATTAATATCTTAACTTTCATAGCTTATTTAAAGCTATTTTAATTTTAAAATTTTCAAAGAAGCTTATGACCTAAGCTTTCTTTTAATTAAAACTCATTGAGATATGAGCTGCAAAGTTAAGACATCAATTTTTTTCAAATGTAGATTTGCTTGATTTCTATTGACAGCTGTCCATATATTAATATATTAATATTTTAAATTTATAACATATAATATATTAATGAAATTTAAATTTTTTAAAGCATTCCCCCATCTTGATGAGTACAATTGCCCATATGAAGCACTATTAGAAAATATGCCATGTGAAGTTAAATTTTATTGACTTACACTTATTAATTTAATAGAGTGTCCTTTTGTAGTATTACTTTATATTGGAGAACATTCACATCCTCCACTGCCACTAAATAATGTACCAAAAGCTATTCAGAATCAACTTAAAACTTTAATTAAAACTGCTTCAATAAATTTAGAGCATGTTACACCATGTAGATTAATATCAGGTATTACTTTTATATTATAAAATTATTTATTATAAATATAGTTAAGTATACTTAAATACAAGCTATGAAAATTAGACTTTTAATAGCTTGTATTTGAACAACAAAAGAAAATTATATTATAAAGTCTAGTATATATTTGAATCAGAGTTAAAGAGAGTTGCACTTAGAAAGATTTAATTGTATATATAATAAAACCTTTCAAAGTGTGTTTTCTCTAAATATGCAGTTTATCTAAATATATTTGAATTCAAATCTATATATAATCTTTATAAATGCACTTTTCTTAAATGCATACTATTAGTATTTAGTTTCTATAAAATGCATTTAGAAAAGTCTAATTGAATTACTAATTATATACTATAAGAAATATTATATATATTATTAATTACTAATTATAAAATATAAATTATAAAATAAATATTATAATTTAAGAAATTTAATTAAAAGTTGTTTTGGAATGAACTATTACCAAAAATACATACGTCTTTAAATAATTTAGATCATCTCCGCTATTTGGTTTTTCAGGTTCAATATTCAATTTACCCACATAGACAGGGTATCTTAGGTTTAGTCTATACCTTCTCTTCTAATTTAGATAATATTTGTGATTATGTCCAAAGAATTGATAAGTAATAAAATATTTATTGTATATATGTTGTATATTAAATTAATATTTGTACTAAATTAAAAGATAGTTATAATATTGCCAATATCTTACCCTTTAATTCTAATTCTACTTAATATCTAAATTTTAAATTAATGCAAATTTTAATTCAATATACAACATACAATCAAACCTTTCTAAGTACACACCTTGAAACTGCACTTTAATAACATGCATATAGAGAACAATAAAAAAAAGTGCATTTATATAGATCAAGTATATATTTGGGCCAGTACTTGAGTGTGTATTTAGAAAGAGTGTGCACTTGCAAAAAGTGTATTTAGAAAGGTCTGATTGTATATATAATATATATATTGTATATATATTAATCTTTAATTTATTATAACATTTTTTGAAGATAGCCATGTTTTTATATTGTGCATGAATAAGGATATAGCAATAAGACTTCTGCATGCTCGATATTTTCAAGTTGATTTAACATTTAAACATGTTTATGGAAGAATAAATGAATTTGAATTTAATGAATTTGATTCAAATCATAATATTAGTTAAGTAAATTATACAATATATATTTAATTATTATATATTATACTGTATTACTAATTTTTATATTTTTAGTACTTACATATGTATGAGTTTTTACAAATATTTCAAATGCAACTTCTTATCAGCATATGTTCAAAGCTGTAATTGAAACTGTCAATGAGCTTTGTAAACAGGAGGTTCAAATTAAACATATCTACAATAACGGCTAGTGTGTTATTTTTGATGACCTTGATATTGCACAAGCAAAAGGTCTTGCTCTAATGCTTGTAGATTTAGATCTGACTAAAGACTGGGAAACTCATTTAAAATATATTTTTAAATCTTGTCATGTTCACTATAAAAGGAAAGTATATTTAAAAATTTCAAAAATTTTAAATATTAATACTAATAATATAATTAATGTAATTTTTTTATTTTTTGCAGAAATATTTTAAAGTCAAAACTTTCTGATAATTTAAAAAATTTAATGTATAAGCTATTGGTAGCTAATAAGGATCAGATAGTTGATATATTTCAAGAATTTGTTATATCAGATGAAGATAGAGTATTAGGTATAAGTTTTATTATATATTTCAATAAATAAATATTATAGTGCAAATTATAATTACTTGTGTTTTTTAAAAAATATAGAATGAGTAAATTTTTATTTGAAGCCATGGAGATTAGCATCATTAAATCATAATTATTCAAATATTGCTGAAGAAGATTGGTGTAGTGCAGAAGAAAATACAAATGTTGTTGAGTTAGCATATGCTGATGCTAATCGAGAAAAAATTCAAATGAGTTTATTGCTTGCAATTAGAAAGTTTGTATTTAATTTTTATTTTATTCTATATGCAGTCAGATCTCTACAAGTGCACGCTCTTGGGACCACAATTTAATAACATTTATATAGAGAATAATAAAAAAAGTGCATTTATAGAGGTCAAGTATATATTTAGGCCTGTGCATTTAGAGAGGATATGCACTTATAGAGTGTGCACTTAGAGAGGTCTGACTGTAGTTAAAATAAAGTTTCTATCTATAAATTATTTGCCTATTTATCTATCAGATAGCTAATATCTGACAGATAATTGGTTATAAGAATTAATAAATGAATAACTAAATTATATTCGGATTATTCAGATTATAAATGTACTTTTCTTATTGTTTTAAGTATATATTGTTAAAGTTTAATTTTCAAGGATGTATGCATATATATATATATATATATATTAGATACTATATATTTAGATATAATAATAAATAATATTCTAAAAGAACTCTTCCTGCAGATCACTTTACCAAAATAGAAACAAGAAAAAATTTTCCTGCAGCTATATTTTTAAAATTTTACTAAGTAACTTGAGTCTCGGCTTCTAAGTAAAGTTATCCGGCACCCTCTAATCTACTTAAAAGAAGTGCAACTTTGGAAAAAGAACGAGTCATTTATGAGAAAAAGACAAAAAAATACTATAATAGACCAAAAAACAATTTTTTCATTGTCTCGCAAAAGTGGTCCTAAGGACTACTTATACTCTACTAATATAAAACAAACTAACAGCCCTACTTTACACAAAAATAATATTAAACAAGGATTATTAAGCTCTCATCAGTCCAAAACTCAACACAAAACTATAGCCTCTGAAAGCTCTACCTCCACCAGAGGAATTTTTTCTTACTGGCGCAGGCCAGCAGAACAAAAAGAAACTCCTACCCAGACAACATCCACGTCTCCAGCTTTAGAACATACTAAAAAATTTGTCAATATTACTATTAGAGACTGGACCAAACTTATCTTTACTGTCAACTTCTCTATTCAAAAGTATATTGACAACTTCCTCTTCTATAGCGATATTACCAAATCTGGCAAGATCCCCAACCTGGTCGATTACCCTTTCTAATGGGTATGTAAACACGAAGACCCAAGCCAATCAGTTCTCTTTGACCTATCTTTATCTAAAAACAACATAGTCGACATCAACGCCAAGTAGCTAAAACCGGAACACAATGTTGATATGATAACGATTACAAAGACATACTATAATAGTATGAAACCTTATATGAAGGCTAAACAGACAGCTGATCTTTACCTTATCCCATACAATAATATAACTAATCTTGAATCAGACTACGCATCTAATAGAAGCACTAGTAAAACAACTACACCAAAAACAAACATAGCCAAAACTGCACCTGCACTAATGGATACAGATATTACTACTAGCACAACAGTATCTGATGCATCTTTAGTTACACAGCACCATATCGCCAACTTTGTATCTAGACCATCCACACCTCTGAGTCAAATTACATCAGCCACCCGACAAAACCCACCTCCTCTACTTGTAGCTATTACTAATAGAAAGCGAGCCAGGAACATCTCACCTCTTACCACTATCCCTAACAAGGCTAACAAAACTACTGTCAATAGTGTACCAGCCCCATTCAAGCCCCTTTATAGCCAGATCACCAAAACTAACATCGCCTCACTTATGATCGGCACTTCAGATGATATGGAGTTCGCACAAGTTGTAACAAGCAAGATCCCAAAGCCTACTAATGCTCTATTTGATACCAACACCTGGATTTACGATACTATTGCACAAGCACTCACTACACTAGCAGGAATTTACCAATTTGTTAGTTACAAGCTAGCTACTAACCAGACCCAATACATCCTACCTAATGCTATCCAGCTTAAATTCATCTATTGTGACACCCAGTTCTTTACCACTTTTACTCGAAACCCTAAAACTATGTCTGAACATCAAAAAGAATTCAACACATTATTCAACAAAGCCCCCTCAACCTATAAGGAGGACAACAACATTACCATTACCGATTTAGCAACACGCAACACTATCAACTCCATGCTTAGAAAAATGCTCATTATCCAACATTTATCCAACATTAATACTACAAGAGCTACTCCTAAATCCATATATGAGGCAATTCGTTACGTAAGAGGATTTTTAAAAATTCCCAATGAAAATAAAAACACATCTAAAGATATTAAAGCAGAGATCAACAGAGCTTTTAAAGACAAATTAGAACAACTTCCAGATCACCCAAATAAAATTTCTTCTGAAATCCAAAATATCTTGCCTTTTACCCTCCCTATTAAACAGAAATCACAGATTAAAGCGATTGTTAATGCACTAAGAAAGCTTTACAAATTCCCTGAACTCCCACCTACATACTTTGCTACACTACCAGCACTTCCTGCCAACTATAATAGCCTTTCTAAGCAGCTACGCAAACTTTTCCTCATCTTTCATAGATCAGCTCTTCAATACTTAGATGCCTACAAAAGGAAGCTAGCTGACTACTACACAGTAGTACAAATTCCAGATAGCTACTTTGACCTTCCACCCCGAAGCAGCCACTTCTCTTTTAACATTGGAGCAAGTAGTAACTCAAGTTAGAGAGTACTACATGTTTAAACTCTTACCAAATGACTACTTTGTTACCAAGCCACTCCTTCCAATAGACCCCAGTAAGATCTGCACAAGTACCCAATTCTCCTTCCCAATTACAAGTGATACAGAGGCCAAGAAATTTATCCAACAAATTACACCACAATATAGATTTAGATTTCCATTATCTACAGAGATATTACAAGCAAACCCTACTGACAAACCATACCTACCTAAGGCAGACCACCTTCTAAAGGATATTGGCATTACTCTTTCTATTACCACTCCTGAGCAGCTAACTAGCATAGCCAAAACATTGAGAAAACACTTCTTTTTTTCCAAGCTACCTGCCAACTGGATCCAAATTCCAACTAGCAAAACAGAAAACAAAACAGATTCATCCAACACCTCACAGCCCCTTCCTGAGATCCCAGCAGAGATTACAGAAATTAGAAAAATACTTACATCTCGTAGTATCAAATTAAAACTCCCAATTCAGTCCCAAGAAGATGTTACACTCACTATGAAAGTGTTAAGACAACACTTTTTAGTTAAAACAATTTCTGACTTCATTTTGGAGCTTCCACCCTTACCAAAACCTAGCTAGACAATCTTTAACAATGCCACAGATCAACCCCCATCCCCCAGTACAGTTCAATTACTAGCTAGTGCCACTTCTCAAATAGTAAACACTACAAATACACCTACTAAAGCATCCAGCTCCAACCCACCGGGCGGCAACACTGCACCGATGGATACAAACTAATTAAATGAGTACTAATACAAACTCCACATCTCTTCACCCCCTAACACTCTCTATCTGCATACACAATGTACAAGGATTTAATAACGATATCAAAAAAGAAGCCTAGGAACATTACTGTCTACAACAAAACCTTGATATTATTAGTATCACAGAAACAAAACTTTTAAGTGAAACAATTCGATACAAATGAGACAAAACCCAACATTACACCTACCTATGGTCATGCACAGATAGCTCTCGATCAGGAACTGCAATTATGATTCGAAACAGCTTAGCACCACACATTCACCATATTAGCCTCATAGCAGGGTATGCAATCGAAATTGACCTTCTCTTCAAACATGACTTCAAGTTTCGTATTATTTCTCTCTATCTTCCCAGCAATGATGCCCAACTCCGATTACAAGTTCAAAACACAGTAATCCAATAGTTGCAGCAAGCCCAAATGCAAAACATTCTTCCTATAACTTTAGGAGACTTCAACGCCTCTACTGACAATATCCACTCACAGTCAATCAAATATAAACTTCTTCAGTATCTAGCATACAACAACATGGACAACCTAGTGTCACACTCCAACATGTTAGCACCAACATGGCACAGAGCCAATCTCAGTAGTGAAATTAACTTTATTTGGGCATACCAACCAATCCTTCAATACCTTACTGACTATAAAACTGATGACTCTGATACAAGCACTTTAAGTGATTATAAAATCCTAATCTCTTGCTGGCTCTTCCCCTATGCAACAACAGGACAACAAAGACATAAAACCCGCATTCGAAGAAGAGTCTTTAACTACAAAACAATGAACAAAGAAGAATGGAAAAACTTTGCAGAACAAGTCAGTTCAAAATTACTACGGCATTATACACCACTCGCTCCAACAAGCTCAGAGTTTTTTGAAACAACCTGGCACAAAATCCAGACCAGTTTAATTACAGCAGCACTTAAACATATTCCCAATAAGCGATTTACAGTCTGTAACTTCTATTATACATTCTCTGCCAAGGCCACCCAGCTCCACTATAGCCTTAAGAAGCTTGGTAATATAATAAAAACAGTAAAACGCTCAACTAAATCTGGCTTCCAAATTCCTTTACACATTAATAACACAATAACACAGCTTAACAGTATACATTAGCTTGAGATTTCCACACTCATACTAGCAGTTTAACCATTAGAGACTGGATAGTTGAAGCCAACTCTGAATGGAAGAAACTATTCCACACAAGAAACTTGGAAAATATTAGACAGACACACCAACAAATTACAGAGGCTATTATAAAAAGATATACTAACCTTCAAACAAGCTCTACATCTATGCTAAATAGTATTCTCAATTGGCATAAAGACCCAGTCAAGTTGAATAACATCAAACTTGATCAGGAGATTGTCACAGACCTCACAGATATCAAACTACATATCCAACAACACTTTAGTGACTGGACTGCCTTGCGTACAATCGACCAAGATATATTCAACTCACACTGGCAAACAAAATACAACTCTAAATCGCATATTCAGCAAAACTAGTACTCAGAAGCACTTACAGACTTCTCTCAAAAGGAGATACTTACTACTCTTAGCCAGATGCCTAATAACAAAGCCTGTGGACCCTCTGGAATAAGCTATAAAATGCTTAAACATGCAGGTTCAAGCTTCATCAAAGGAATAACTGCCCTTCTAAACCGATGTCTTTCCTCCCAAAACAATAGAAAGAAGGAAGAATCTATCCTATATCTAAAAAACCAATCTTTGATAGCAACCTGGCCAACACTAGACCTATAAGCCTTATTGAATATATCAAGAAGCTCTATACCAAGCTTCTTACTAACTGTCTTAACAAGATTCTCTCCAAAAATAAAATTCTATCCCCCTTCAACTATGTTGCACTACTAGACAACTCTATCTCTATTCCAATTCATATCCTTAACAATATTATAGAAGACGCAATATGCAATTCCAATCAGCTATAGATCCTCTCACAAGACATGAGTAAAGC